GCAAATAACTTTATTTGATATACATATACAAATACAAAACATAAGGGTTAGAAAGGGTGGGTGGGAATTATTTAACCGCGTGTTATACTTCTGCTAGCGATGACGACGTTCTTGTTAAAACGAAAGTAGATCTGCACGTGCAAAGCAAACCAAATGACGTAACTATATTCTGTTTCAAATACAACCATATTATGCTCTGTTCTAACAATCTGAACAATCACATACTCTAACAATATTCTAATTAACTACATATTAATAAATCAATCTGTCACATTATTTTGCATTTAGATACACAGCAAACACCAGGTTATGTTTTAATATGTATTGCCCTATGTCCTATCAACTGCTAGAATCATGTTCCATACATGTCCAAACATTAAGTCATAAACTGGGTTTAGGGACATATGTCGAGTTTCGTGTTAGTTGCTCCGAGCAATTTTTGGGAAGCTAGTTTTGGGCATAATTTTTGGTATCTAGACAAAGCTGAACCAAGCTGGTCGATCAAGATATTGCCAAATACTCTACGATGTCCTTGTGGGGCACACGTTACCACAATACAGTCAAGTAATGTGTTTTTCCTACCTTATATAATATCCGGCAATGTACTGATGGACTCTAATAATGTCTCACCTTTGTATATACACCAATTTGGGGTTTTGTCATGGAGAAATTTCACTAGCGACCCAATAATGGGTAATATGAAAATCGATAATACATATCTGGCCTTAAACCCAGTTCCGATATCCCATATCCCATATTACGTCGTAGGAACTGGGTAGGGCAGATTTGTTGGGCTAGTATCTAGAAGATGCGGTAGAATCCTTGAAAATTTTGTAGTGATCGAGATAAAGATTCAGCGTATTGATCATTTAAGCAGCATGTATTGATCTAAATGATTAATACATACATTATTACGGCCTGTTAATCACGAGTATTTATATTGTTACTATAGTAAATAAAGCTATTGTCTTGTTTAAAGACAGGCGAAGGACAGGTTAATAACACTCATATAACAATACATCTATATTCCACTCAGGTAGGCATTGGATATTTTTGTTCTAGAAAAAAATATATTGTATATTTGTAGATATATGAAATATTAGCAATAGTATATTATCATATATTATCATATATCATTATATTATATTATATTATATTATATTATATTATATTATATTATATTATATTATATTATATTATATTATATTCTGTCATACTGTGTGACGTCATATCGAGGTCATATGAGATGCGCATGCCAGGACCATCATTAGTGTGTCTAACCATCGTGGTGTGAACATCTAAAAAACTACCCTCTTCTCTTTTTAGAATTTTAAACTTCCTTTTAGGAAATTTTGACAAAGCGTTGGTCTGATTATTACAACTGTTTATTGCTACGGGTTGGCAATCTCAAGACTTACCTTTACATGGTCTATTTGAATTGATTTAGGCTGGCCTTTTCAGTCTTCCTCGTGTAGCGAGGAAAAATTTAAAATGGCGGATTCTTCTCAGAAAAATTCGGGTGCTGCGAGCAAGTCAAGTTTTGACTTTGCGAGTGTCATTTTTGAGAAAGGCAAGACGTCTACAAAATCTACGGATAGAAATAAGCATAGTACTATTCCTTGTACCCAGAACTCTGAAAAAATCAGAAAAGCAGAAACAGCTCATATGCTGTGATGGATCTGTTACTAAAATCCAAAAAACTGGAAAAATTGTCTGATGATAATAATAAGACATTGTCAATTGGAGTTAAACTTGGTATGGATGCCCTTGCTTTGCTAGACCACATAGGATCACAACCAAATAAGACGTGATTGTTTGAAGACAGATTTAAATCTTCCTTATAAAAAACTATGCAATCCAACTTAAAACACTGATAATGGTTCTAGTAAGTGGTTGTTTGGTGATGAACTTGGTAAACGAGTAAAAGATATAAAAGAAACTAATCAAGTTGGGTCATCAGTGGCTAGCTGAAGCCGTCAATCTAAACACTTTCCTAAATATAACCCAAGATCAAAGCCTTTTTTATTCCAAGGCAGTGGTAGCTACAATTACCAGCGACCACAGCAAAACCAGTACAACAGATTCCGGAAATCCACAAACCAGAATCAGAAAGAAAAATCAGAACGAGAAGAAATAAGCTTGTTTGAAGCGGTGAGTGAACTTGAGTCTACTTATTCTTGGGAATCTTTCCGATCTGATTTAAATAAGATTTTGCCATTACTAATTAATAATTTTACTGCTGGTGAATTAAGATTCCATTTGAATTTCTGGAAGACAATGACTTCTGATATTCATTTCTTAAATTAGTTTGTGGTCTTAACATGGAATTCAATTCTGACTTTGTGGAACAAAACATGTGTCCCATTCCTTACAAATTTTCGGAAGATAAAAAGGCTGCTGTGTCAGCTGAAATTCTAAATTTGTTGTCGAAACATTGAAAAAGCCAGTGCTGAAAAAGGCCAATTCATATCAAATATTTTCACTCGAGATAAGAAAAATGGATCTCTACGAGTTAATTTAGATTTGAAAGAATTAAATGAAAATCTTGATTATCACCATTTTAAAATGGATACTTAATTTATTACATGCTATAAATCCCATTACGCCTAATTGCTATATGGCATCAATTGATTGGTCTAATGCTTATCGTGCTCTGTCAATTTCAAAGCCATACAGAAAATATCTTCGTTTTGTCTGGAATGGGACAATGTATCAGTACTGTTGTTTACCTAATGGCTATGGGCCAGCCCCCTGTCTATTTACTAAATTGACAAACGTATTTTTCTCTCAACTGAGAAAATTAGGACTTTTAAATACTTCTTTTATAGACGATAGTTTGTTACTTGGAGACGATATTGAAGATTGTAGAAACAATATCAGAGATACAGTACTATTTTCATTAAATGCTGGGTTTCTTGTACATCCAGAAAAATCTGTATTAGATCCTGTTCAGGAGATAACTTATTTAGGTTTTATTTTAAATTACTCAAGTATGATGATCAGATTAACAGAAGATAGAGCTAAAAAATTTAAAGATGCTTGTGTGGAAATTTTGAAATCAAAATTCATAACCTTACGTCAATTTGCTTGTCTTATTGGACAAATGGTTGCGGCATTCCCTGGTGTACAGTATAGGGAACTTTTTTATAGGCGTTGTGACATATTAAAAAGCTCTCTATTAAGCAATTTTAATGGTGAATTTGACCATAAGATTTCTTTAAATTCTGAATGTATCTCTGATATTCAGTGGTGGATTTACAATATACTAACTGCAAGTAAATCTCTGTTAGTTGATAATCCAAAATATGTTTTAAAATCGGATGCCTCCTTAAAAGGATGGGGAGGGGTTGGCCCAAATGGAGAGTTAACAGGTGGAAACTGGTTATCAAATTTTCAAAGGAAGCTCAACATATCTTGTTATCATCATGGAGAGACTCCACGAGGAACCAATATTCAAGTCAAATCAAAAAATGGTTTAGGTATTCTGCTGTAAAATCACTGGATCCCTTTTCACCTTCTATAGAAGAAGTAATAGAATATTTTACGTTTTTATTTCATGAAAGACTGAGTTACAGTTCTATAAACTCGACAAGAAGTGCTTTGTCAACTTTTATTTTTGTGAACGGAAAGTCAACTGGAACTTTACCAATAATTACTCGTTTTTTTAAGAGGAGTTTTTAATTTGCGTCGGGCATTGCCAAGGAATAAATTTACCTGGGACTGTAATGTTGTGTTAACTTATTTAAAAACTCTTTCACCTGTTTCAACTTTGAGTCTGAAATTGTTAACTTTTAAACTGTTAGCTCTAATAGCTATCCTCTCTGGACAAAGAATCCAGACACTACATTTGCTAAGTATCCGAAACATTGTTTGTAAAACTAACAGGATAAAAATCAAAATTGGTGATTTGATCAAACAGTCAAGATGGCTAAGAAATGTACTGTCTATGGCAGGTATTGACATCTCAAAATTTGTGTCTCATTCTTTCCGTGCATCTTCTATGTCCAGTGCAAGAAGAAATGGTTACAAACTGCTGGATGGTCTAATGAATCCACTTTCAGAAAATATTACTCTAAACGTATCTTAAATGAAGGTGAACTTGCTGATGCAATTTTGAATAATGTTAAATAATGTTAAAAGCACATATCTGCTTCATTGTTTCAGTTCTGTTAATTTTGTTCATGTTTTGAATGTTTCCAAGAAAAGAACTAATTTTTTCTAAAAATTGTTTTATTTATTTCCCTATGTTCATGGTGACAACTTTGAAACTCTCACATGACCTCGATATGACGTCAACAGTATGACAGAATTACAATCAAACTTCACCTTACAGGTAAGCCTCGTTTAATTTTTATATTATATTATATTATATTATATTATATTATATTATATTATGCTTATTAATAACCTCTGATAATTAAGATTAACGTCATATATTAACACGTTTTGTCTAATGAGTTCTATACTGTTTTCTATAATACATTTCGGGTTAGGGAATGACCATAATTCATTCATTTTATTGACATAAGTATATGATGCCAAAATTCTTTTATTAAGTGTTACGGGTATCGTGAGTCTATCTCTTTAAATCAATAGTGACCTGGTAAACATGTTTTGCTTGACCATTATTGTGAAATCGATGAACCTTGAGATAGTATGAAAACATGTTTATGTGTCCATGGTGTAGTATCGGTATTGATCTTCAAAATATACAGGGTGTTGATTAGTCGATAATTCATTATTATTAATAATCTCAATGGATCTATCTTACATAATCTAAGATTAGCAGTGAAGTGAAATTCCCTAAATCTGGACATTTGTTCGCTTTATACAGTATGTTCACTGTAAGTTAATGTAGTTATCTCCGGCAGGTAAAGTATGGTATTTGTTGTCAAGATCAGTTTTCAAGCACACAGCCGGTTCGAGGGAAAGGGGCGTGGCTTTTCAACATGTTGTTCAACTCTGCATTTATTATGTAGAATATGCCACATCCCTGGAAGCATTTCTGTGGTGTTGTACAGAAGTAATCGATAAAAAAGCATTTGGCCAAAACGATTTAATATTTATACTTTATTCCAGAATCGACCAACAATGGAGAAGTTAAATTTCATAACAGTGCTAGAATTTTTACTTGGATGCTTGATAACAGGTAAGAATATCTAATTTTTTTTTCTTTGTTTCAAAATTCCCTAATTGGAAATTATGGGCTTTGGTCATTGTTTTCTAGAATACATGGTTGATAAATATGACTAGAGTCAAGTGTCGTCGGTTGTAAGAGAAATATGAAATATCATGTTGTTGTAAAATGTTGTACTTATAATCGTGCTGTTTATTGTTGATGTTTCAAATTCTATTGTTTATAGGATTGAGCGCCAAAGATAACTACACCATCGTGCGTTTGGAGGCTACAGGAGCATTAAAAGACCTGATTTCTCCTAATTTCCCTTCCAATTATCCCATGTAAGTATTTATCTTAATTATCAGAATATATTGTTTGTACAGTTAAGTCCTTCAACGGCTCAATCCTCTTATCTTGAATTTTACGAATTTAGATGCCAACCTTAGTTCTCGCTGAATTCATCAGCATAAATTAAATACAAACCAGCTTTTTAAATGAACGACTATGCCACATTAATTATGATTAAATTATTACGTTTTGTGATGTACCTCAATTTAATTATTTCCCCATCTGTTATAGCTATGAAAAGATGTTGTATATCTTGACGGCGAAGGACTCACACAATGGAATAGCTATCAAATTTGCATACTTCTTGATGGAAACCAGTAAAAACTGTGAGGCAGATAGTCTGAAGCTGTATAAAGGTATAACTTGCTATACAATCAACATGGATTTTTCTCTGATTTTGAAAATATTATTTCAACTCTTTAAATATAATTGGAAATTGACTGATTTATTGATTTATTTTCGAGTTTGTATGTTGTTCATTAATAATTATGTATTGCGATATGACAGACAAACATGTTATATTACTATGATCTCTTTTGCAGCTAATTACGAATTCAAATTCCTGGAAAAAACATACTGTGGTCACAAAAAGCCGAGCAACATTTTTATACCAGAAAATAACGTAACGTTAGTCTTCACCACTAACGGACATCAAGAAAAACGTGGATTTAGACTTCAATATTATGGTAAGACAAATTTAAAGCTGAGTAATAGAAAAGCATTAAGACAATTTCGCTGCCGATTGCAATTGAGCCCGATTCAATATAACTATTGTGAATACATGGTCTTTTAAATCAACCCTTTGTCCTGGTTTGTCAGCTTGACTTTCATTTCAAATTTCCCGTTATTCTCTACTATTCCTTTGTTGGATTAAACATTTATTAAACAATATAATTAATTTAGTTTTTTTAACACCATTGTTTATTGTCATACAGTGGTTCGTATACGACATCATTTATTTTTTCAATGTTGAATTTATAAATCATAATTTATAATTAAAAACTTGTATTTTCAACCAGGTGAAACAAAATAAATAAATGATGTCGTATACGAACCACCGTATATATTGTCAAGTATCTGTCTGTTAAACAATATAATTTCAGTTCATTTTATTCACATTACAACATGATAAATTGAAATAAGTCACGAAATGAAATCTTAGGTTTTGTTTTTATTTTCAGCACCACGTACAAATCCTTTTCCAAAGAAAAACTCAAAATCAAAATCAAAATCCAATAATGATTCAAATATGGATGGTATACCAATAGGCATTGGAATAGGCTTTGGAATTTGTGCCTTTCTGACTTTCGTGCATATATGTCACAAGAAACAAGTTGTTGAAGGGGCAAAAAAAATGGCAGAGGAAAAGGAAAAAGCTGAAGCAAAAAAGAAAGCTGAGACAGAAGTAAAAAAGAAAGCTGAGACAGAAGCAAAACAGAAAGCCGAGACAGAAGCAAAAAAGAAGGCCGAGACAGAAGCAAAACAGAAAGATGAGGCGAAGAAAAAAGAGGAAACTAAACAAAAAGCTGAAGAAACTAAAAAAGAAAACAAGAAACCCAAATGCGATGAGAGTCCGAATGCTGAAACTGATAGCAAGGCTTACCAGCCAGTGAACCAATCGACTCAAACATTGATTCAGCCTTTACATCCCGTCAACCAATCAGCTTACGGTTCGTCCCATCCTCTTATACCTATTGGTCAACCAACAAGAACTCAGCCACTACCACCGATAAACGAATCGCTACATTCAATATCCCAACACTTTCCACCGAACGCTCTACAATCACAAGCTCAGCCACTCTTTCAGCCGATAGAAATGTTGTACCCACCAATACAAAGCGAACAATCACATCCAATTCACCTTGTGCAGCCAGTGTCAAACAATCCGTCTTTTACACGACAATTGGTAGGGACAGAAGCATCTGATGGAACACGTAACTATGGCTTTACGGAAGTGCAACCACCTTCATATGAGGGACTTTCTTTCAATTACAATATTCCTGAAACTAAGCTTCTATAAAAGAGTTATTTGGCTTTTCCACTATTCAATGATGAGTGTGATGCACTTTATGTGATACATATATCCGCCCTTAAACGTACATGTATTGTTATTATTTGTAAATGTAATCGATATACTGTGATATAAAGTATTAATGCCGATAACCAGTTCTAATTTGTTATTTTTGTGTAATTACAGAGTTTTAATGGTGTTTGTATCTAAATGTTTCGATGAACAGTCTATAACACATTATTTAATCATTCATTATATTACACTGAACGTTCCCAAATATAATCGAAGAGAAATTTCCAAAGAATTTTGCAAGATCCAATATCAATTTTATTTGAATTTTGCTGTATTGTTATTTGTATGTTTGTATGAATTGTATTTTTCAATTTTATTATATTTATATGTATTTGATGTTCCACCTTTTCGAATACACAATAAATTGTAATCTTGTCCACAGGCCGTCCCATTGTTACGTGTCAAATTCCTTGGAAACTTGCTTTTGGTTGACCTCATCAACCCTAACCACAATGTTCAATACCTTGGGTGTATTTTTAAGAGCTTCCAGGTCAAAGATGTTGAACAGTGGTTCAATTAGAGTTGTCATTATTATATGTGCTCGAATGTGTCCATTCACTCCAGTAGAAGCTGACAAACCAAGAAGAGGAAGAAAAACATTGAATACTTCGTTGTTTTTTTTAGTTCGCTGACCCATTTGAACAATATTTGCTGGAAGTCATACAAATGAATTTAACAAAGCCGTCGGATAAAATCTACTGTCAGTAGGTAGTAGAGAGTACTTGTATTTAGCATCGTTTGGTTTTTGTGAAACAATGTTTAAAAAAATAATCATTGGTTTTAATACAGGTTTTACATACAGTCTCCATTCCAAATACATATTTATCCAAATACACAACCGCAAAATATATATATAATTGAAAAAAGTTGATCCCTAATGCGTTATGGTTAACTGTCTGGTCTATTGTCACCAAATATTTGATTCTTGTGACAAATATCATAAATATCTGATCCAGCACAACTTCATGTGATATTGACTTAAGCATAATTAAAAGGACACGATATAGTCGTAAGAAATTTATACTTCAAGTTCAACAGGAACGTACATGTTGAATACTTGATCAAATATTCGGGTTGTTTATCTTAATCCACTACCCAAAGACAAATACTCTTCTATATAAACACTAATCTAGGCTTAATGAGTACACATATTATGGACAACCAAAATAATGAAACAGTTATATAACATAGCAATGAAAGACTATACATGTATAATTCGTAAATAATTATAGTATACCAAATATATAGCCCATATCTCACACACTTATGTTTACACTAGCACATACTGAAGGCAATTCAGTATTCCTTATTGAGCAAACTTTACATCTGGAAATATCTCTATTGTTGGGTAAGTGAAACATTTCGTTATTTAAAAAAAAAACGTATGGTGCAGAATGCACGATTATACTATGAAACTGTTTCCAAAGTAGCTGCTCTGTGACCACGAAAAATTGCAATTCTAACAATATCATTGCCACGGAGTAAGATGCTTTTTACGAGTATTTTTACTACATCGGTTGTGACGAATTCAAACATACTAGCAAAAATGAAATTTGATGCAATTCTAAATTATTTGTAACCATCATCAATCATTTCGTATAGAAGATACATGTAGCCATTCAAGGAAATATGTGTATAATAGGCATGTACATTATGGCATAAAAGGGACAAAGAGGCCATTTGTTTTCACCAATCATACATTAGCCTCAGAAACGGGAATTCTTTTTAGCTAAGACAATCAGTTATAATGTTCAAAGCTTAACTCGAAATTTGAGCCTTCAAATCGGTGTGTGTCCAGAATTATCCGCGATAGAATGTTAAAATGACGACTCATCAATTTAAGATACTCTGTGATATATAGAAAAGACATGTATATAGGGAAAGAGAGTAAAATTCCTAGTTTGAAGTATTTTTAAAAGAATTATGCGATTTTCGTAAATGTCTAGTACTTCTGAAGACTATTTACATAGATTCAAGATTAAAACCAATCCCCTAAATGGCGCATCTGTCCCCTTAATAATAGTCACACAACAAAATCTAGAGATCTGTTTCTCATACGGCGGACATCTGTCAAAATAATTCAGGCAAGCTTTATACTGTAATAATATGAATACAAATACCTCAAAAAATGTTTGCCTGCTTTCTGTGCTTCTACTACGACTACCCATTCAGAATATGGTATCTCCATGAAATATAGTCGTGTCAAGGTGTATGTGCACATTCTGAGAGGATTTAAACTATTTACCTATTTACACCTATTTTTTGATAGTTTATACACTACTTGCCTCAATATAACTTGGGCTTTCAAATTCATTTCCTTATCTATTTGAAGTTTATAGTTTGAATCAGACGTTGATTTTCACAAATTAATATGCTGGGATGTACCCGTATTAGTATATCGTACCAGTGTTATCTTATAACGTAATATGCTTTTAAATTAACAACTGATAAAGTTCAACTTTAGCTATCCACACCGCGACATATAAAGCTTATAATTAACAATGCGAGGTGAAAAATGCGAATACAATTTTGTATACCACTGGCAAACTGGACATGATTTTTAATTTACATCATATTTTTACTCATTTTTCAGATCAGTCATGGCTTATATTATTAAGAGCAAACAAAGCAATATCAACCTCAAGTATCTCCCTAAAGTTTTCAAATCGAAGAACGGAGATAATGTTAAAATTGGTAGATACCAGGAATCTGACGAAGCAGAATTGCATGAAATTTTGAAATACATAATCAACATAGAAGGTGACAGTTATCCCCAAATAGATATCAGTTCAGTGGAAGATTTTAGAGCCTATTACCTCTCCCATGATGTTTTCGTGTGTAAAAATGATTCTACTGGAGAGATCTTAGGTTCATTCTACGTCAAGCCGAACTTTCCTGGGCGATGTTCCCATATTTGTAATGGTGGATTCGCAGTTAAGAAATCAGCCAGAGGAAATGGTTTGGCGACTAAAATGACAGACATATTCCTGCAAGTTGCTCGCGATCTGGGATATCGCGCAGTGATGTTTAATCTGGTCTTTGTATCTAATGAGTTCGCCATTAAAATCTACAGAAAATTGGGTTTTAAAGAAATCGGTAGAATTCCCAGTGCTGGAGATTTAAAAGACAAAGGCTACATGGACGCAATACAGTTTCATTATGATCTACTGACTATAGATAAAAGTGTTTAGGAAAAACTGATAGGTCATTTATCATCTAAAGGCTATCAACCTTTCAACCTGTCAACCTTATCATATATTACAACAACCCGTGATTTTGGGAGGGTAATGGGGTTGTTGATATACAATGTTATCATTTCTTGTTACACCACCTTCATGTTTATCTACATTATCTGAGGACGATTAAAACAATAAATATTCACAGTCCACTTCGTTTCAGGTAGTAATTGGCTCTGTAATTTACTTCTTTGTTATTTACTGTCCAAAAGAATTAAAGGCGGGTAAAGTGTTTACGAATTTACTCGCCACTAGATGTGCACAGTTCTTTGCCCTACTATGCCTTAGCCCAGTAAATGAGATGAAATAGTTTCAGTCCATTTTTACTGTCGTGTTGGCTTTTTAGAGCTGCAGCCAATACAATACAGTATCCAATTGAAAGTTTTTTTTGTCATGACAATGACAGTTCTATTTTCTTATTTCCAACTGCGCATAGATTATCGTTTCAATGTCTTTTTTTCATGTCAGACCTTCGACCTGCATTACTAGAGACAGTGCGAAACCGAATAGAACAATATCTGAAGGTAAACATGCCTGTGCCGTAATCGAATCCTTTGCGTCTCAGTTAACGAGGAAGAATTATAATGTATTTATGACACATAAACATCATACTCAGGTCTGATTCATACGAAACTACGTATGGTTCTTACATGGAAATAACACACACGAACGAAGTTCATAGTATATCAAGTATTAGTGATGATGAAGGCTGTGATAAGTCCTTTAACGTGAATTAAATTAATCCATATTTTAATCCTTGTTGAAAGTAATATCAGCATAACCCGATTAGAAGAAAAAGGGTTAACATGTAACTTGTAATTAAATTCAAAGAGCGGTCGTCCTAAAGGTTACCCAAAATGACTATTGCAACCGTTTAGTTTACTTTGTAACCGATTTTCATTGAATTTGGATGTATGATAAGAAAAAAAAAGAAAATACTTTGTCAGTTTACAACAATTTTGAAAAGTAAAACAGAAAAAGGTTTGAATAACCACTACTCCGTTTTGTTGCTAGCGGTAACAACGCGGATAGTTATTGAGGCCAGTAAAAATTGATATTCGTTCTCTTCTTATGGAAAATCTGTTAAGTGTTTCTTTTGATGGTTACTTCACTTCTCATCCATGATCAGACAAAACAAAATTATTCTTATAATCATGTTCAGTCAAATAATCTGCTTTACACCTCCACCAATTTTCATGAACGTTTTCCCAAATTAATTATCAACCTTAGGAGCGTCTTTTTTATAACCATCACAAAATCAGCTACTACATAAGAGTCCAATCTGCTAATAATTTAAAATGATAAGGTAAATGTTCAGTAGGAGACTTGGAATTTAACATTTGATAATGTGCCTGTGAGTTCCTTCAGTTAGTCACTAAGAATTATGAATAACCACTTGTATTCCGAACTGTTGTTAGCAACAACAACGCTGATTCTTATTGATATTGATAGCCTTTATTTTGTTTTATTTGGCATAATGTCTTTGAATCATGACCAGTCGAATATTTCCAAAATCATTGTAAATGTGGAATACAAGAAAAAGCACGAATTTTATATAACAAATATCCCAGAATTTGTCCGAATAGAGCATTTGATTAAATTTTATAATATGATAATAAACCATAATCTCACTGATAATTACCATTAAAATCAATAATTTGTATCAATAAGATGATACAATGGCGTTTCTTCGAATGCAAGATAGCTTTACAATTAAATTTCTTATCATTTATTTAAGAGAAAGAGATGCCCATGAGATCCCCTTGACAATTTCGAGGCCCCTATTCAGCCCCCTCAACTATTGATTCATAAAAACGCCACTATAGTGAAAACAAATAATAACTAATGACAATAAGATATAACATTGATGATAAATACAAAGAATATCAATGAAAAGTACCAGTAATTGAGATAAACAATAAACAATATCAATGGTACCAGAGAAGAAACTGTAATTTTAATGATAAGTACGAAAAACGTTAATAATAATAACTAATGGACATTGAAGGTCAAACAGTAACAATGATATATTAGTGATAATAAATTATACCTTTGATAACAAATACCAAAAATAACAATTTATAATAAACAACATTAATGATAATAACCAATGATATAAATCATGATTGACAATAACACACTTAGTACCAATAAATATCAAGTGTTAATAATATTAGTCATCAGTATGGATGGTATCGATTGAAATAGATTGAATGCTTAAATATTAATCATGAATGATTCTATTCCTATCAAACTCCCATAACACAGAACAAAAATATATCTGCAAAATAACTAACACCCTGTCGAATTTCAAGGTAATCGTGTCAGTTCTACTTAGAAAACAACAACTTGGCTCATATAACCTGATGAGGCATGACGGTTACTGGAATATGTTCTTTAATGAAATATGTTACTAGATCTCCTTTGCCTTTCACAAAAACATAACCTCTCTTTTCAAAAGTATATCCAAACATCTCCAATATATTTTTCGTCTCTTCTACAACCTGAAAAGTAGTTACATATAACTCTCCGAATTTCAGTGATGAAAATTCAAAAACAGTTACATTATTTCTCGTTCGACGTATCTAAAGGGTAAACAGCTCGTCGCTCGTTCTAAATTCTAGATAATTTTAATAACTGTGACTTTTTCCGTGAGATTGTCCCTGATCTCCTTCACTGACAAGGAGAAACAATTCCGAAGGAAAAGATATGTGGCCAGTAGAACATCCGATAAATAAAGAAACGATATAAAACGTATTACCTACCTGTATTTTCGAGACATGTCCGGTGGATTCCATACGGCTAGCAACATTGACAGTGTTACCCCAAATATCGTAATGAGGTTTTCTAGCTCCAATAACACCCGCTACAATGGGGCCATGATTTATTCCTGAAAGAAAGGTGTACAAACACGTTATTATATTTATAGCACTAGATTTCTAGATTAAAATGTTCCACAAGTTTTGAATCTGTCTTCAAAAAATATTTTAGGAACAACAATTACTCTCCAACAGTAACTTCCTTGCTTCTTTATTTCTCTGCGAAAAACTTGGTCGTTTTTGTATTTAACGACCAAATCAAATGCTGAGAATACTTACCTATACGCAAGATAAAGTTATTGAAAGACTGTTCATTTATTTTCTTTAACGTGTCGAACATGAGAAAGGCAAACTGTACCAATTTGTCTAAATGGTTCCACTTTTCCTTCTCGTCAATATTCTGGAATAAAAAAATACATCCTTTTTAGCACCTTTTTGCATTGGAATTTTCAAATTATCTTTTATTTTGCTGTACTTTGTTTTACAAAATATAGTTGAAAGGGTCAGTTACAAAAAAAAAAATTGTAGGCGAACTAACATGTAATCTCTCCGTCTAATTTATTACTCACTCATTGAAACGTGGCAAAGAAGTGAACTTACTTCGTCATGGAGGTTAACAGTCATTCCACTAGCTGCCATATAAGTTGGACCAACTGTCTTTATTTTACATACACAGGAGAACCTTGGTTGTTCTAACAGCTGAAATAAGATAAATTGATGTCCAGGGCGAAAATATCACTAAGTTTAGAATGGAAAAGGGTCATGATTTTTGAGGAAGCAGTACTATGTATTTGTGTTTCGCAAGGAAATCATAAAGGCATCATACAGCTATCGTAAATGCATATCGGATTTCACTGGCAAATCATGGAAACAATGAACAGTAAGTTTACATATTCAGGTTGGAATAGAGGTTAGTTGGTCAAACATTAATTAACCGAGGCGCGTGTGGGATCAGTTGACAAATGCAAGTTGACAAAAGTTGCTTAGGGACAAGAAAACATAATAAATATAAGAACTTTACCTCGTCATAATCAGAAATTATTTCATTTAAAAATCTCAAACATTCTAAACCATTATTATTTACAGAACTTTCGTTGTAAAAATCATTGAAATTAGGACAAGCTGCAAACATCACGCCAATATGACTGTATGAATGACTATATAACTCCTGCAACATAATTGAAATCTTTTTTTCGTGAAGCAATTGACAAAATCGTAAATAACATAATGACTTGGAGCTCTCTGGATCAGTCAATATAGCGATTAGTTGCCATTTTTTCTTACAATTTTTTTACTTTTAGTTTGACACACAGTTGAGGACATTTTGCTTTTTTGTAGCGACATATTGTGGTCTTAAGGGTATGAATCTATTCGTTATGCAAATTTCCTGTCCGGACATTGAGTTCTTTAACAATTTTATTCCATTGAATGAAAATTTGCAACTAAGAAATTCTACACCCGAAGATTAAATTACTACAGCTTCGTCATAGTAACCATTGATCTTGTCATACTTACATCATCTCGCCTATATCTCCCTATAAAATCTCGAGCAACATGAGCTGGCAATATATTATAAATCAAGGCTTCGTTTTTTCTTCTAAGCTCATATACTTGTTTCTTCTGTTTCGTTGTTTCATATTTCCAGAAAAATAATCTTCGATAGGTTCTGTCCAACTGAAATGAAATAAATTTGTCTGTTCGCATTTGGAGTTAATGACTATGTACAATACAAAACATCTGCAGTGGCAGTGGCCATAAATCGATTATGGATTTTTATATTATCAATGCCTCCATTTATTGTCCCATCGAAACAACGAATGTGAATCGGTAAATGTAATTATTACCGGGACAGAACTTTGGACCACCAGGTATGCGAGTAACATCCTATCTCACCGAATTACCACAATCAAAAGCTTATTTCACAACAAACGATTAATTGATAAATTGATCCAAGGATAATTTCATTGTCAACGTAGGCATTGACTAGGAATAGTTAGGAATGGCTGGTTAATATCTCTCAATGGATATATTCCATGGGCATCAACAGTCCAGTTTTCACTTGATTAGTATATTAATTATTATCACAACACAATCGTATCAAAAAAACGTCACATGCATCGTGTTGTTAGAAATCTAATCGGAATTTGTCTCCTTCTTGACTCTCATTATTCCAGATTAGCAGCGAGGATTATAGAGATTATAATATACTGATGTTATAATATCAGTAATTTGAATCAGGTATAATCCATTGTTTATGAGATATGGAAGGCTAACAGATAATACAGTCTGTATCCTTATCTATCTGATATTCAGCTCAGTATTTTTAACAAATCCACTCCTGAGGACCAACGATGATTCGGAGTAGTATTGCGAAAGAGGTTTGTTCGAATGTATCATTCCTATTTCTGATCAGATGTCTTTTGACAATGTCGGTCATTGGTTTACAAACCAGGCCATAATAGCTCACCTTTTTGGACCTTTTTTGTTATGTCAATAAAGCTACAAATTCCACGACCCGTTCATTACATTGTCACTTGGATGCATTTGACATTTATTGTTGATGAAGTCGATGAAGTTGAAGACATTTTGGCCATCAAAAGTATCGTCTCAAAATTACAGATTACAGTACAGTTGAGATATGACATGTAGCGGGTGGGCCGTGGAATTTTGACTATATCTCTTCACTTCACCAAATCTCCATAAGCTCAAGGTAGGGTTTCGTATTCCTGCTAAGTTAAGTTAAAACACTCAAGAGATTATAATAGACTCTTGATACTTCGATATTAGTAAATTAAAACGAAAAAATCAACTCACGTATCTTGAAATCAGCAAAATGGTGACAGAAACTGTAAATAATATGCCACATAAATAATACTTGGATGGAATATTTCTGTCAACAAATAAATAAAGAATTAGCAACAACTTGCCAGCGGTTAAAACCAATGTAAATACAATTTATATAATATTTTCATTCAATAAGATTGAAGGATGTGGTATGGATATGACAGGGTGCTTTGCAATAATTCTTGCTAAAATGGTCATTTTTCAAATATTTATCACGATCGATTTGTAGCAAGTGAAGAACTTTAGATAGTTTAATCACAAAGCTAAGGTACACCAGAACAGTATTGGTATCAAGAATAATATGGTAACATACCTTGGTGATACATTTATGTCATAATTGTCAAACAAATCATGAAGTACAGTATTGGTGGTGATACAGATAAAGATACTAAAACACATTGACAAGAGGTAGATCATCAAATATCCAAATTCCATAATACACGACACAGCCAGTAATACTAAGCATATGGAACATACAAAATATGGTGGAAAGTGGCAATGAGGATCCTCTGGATCCAGATATTTTCCAGAAACGTTATAAGCTGGTTTTAAATCACACTGGAACTGTAAAGATATGCCAAGACTAGTTGTAAATTAACTATTTTCAATTGCAAACGATAATGACCTAACAATACAATTTCTTTAAATGATTTTTAAAGATTTTAAAGCGATCAGGCCTTTGAAGTCTAGAAGTAGACAAAATTAAGATTTCCAAGGAATAATCTGGCGCTGGTAAAACCAGTCCGATGCGAGATAGGTCTTACATACACAGTGGTAAATTCGGCACTTGATTTACAGATTTAAGTTTTAGAACTGAAGATTAATATGATATCATATTATGAAACAAATTATTACATCTAATTATTCTCTTACTGAAACATAATCATAAAATGAATAATTTCCCACAAAATAGCAGCATGCATCAACAGTGAGCCTTGAACTAGGTGAGGTAATACTTACAATTCCTGTGGTATCGGCAACGAATAATACCAATACACATAACAAAGAAGATAATATCCGTGTTATTCTGGAACCATTTAACCACGAACCGAATCTTCTGACCCCTGACACATTCTTTAGGTTAAAAAAACGAGTTACTTGTCAGGGCAAAGTATTGGTTTATCGTTTAAAAACAGAACAGATATGTTTAACCTATTCACTAACAGTAACTATTTTAGCTGTACAATGGCAAAATGCAGTAACTCCAATATTTGCTCAAAATACCTTTTTTAAACCATTGGAATCAGAATTTCAAGCTCTATTTGGTAGGATATATCCTAACAATCATTGAACAATACTTATTATGATTAGAAGGTGACAAAAGGCAGTAACTCCATAACTTGAATATATTTTCAATTGAAAAAGGCAGTATCTGCTTTTACATGTATAGGAAAAATGAAAGAAAAAAGGCAGTAAGTGTGATGAAAAGTTTAAACTGCAGTTTTCTCAAAATGTACAAAAATGTCTTTACTGCCTTTTGCCATTGTAGGGCTGATTGTCCTGATGAGGATTGTACATCTACTAAAATATTTCATGCAATAGTAATAGCCTAAGGCATGTTATCAGTATCACCTCGCACATCTTCAACTCTTACAAACTATAAAAGCAATCCATTCAACGCGGGTCAAAATATATACAATTACTGACCTTATTGGTTTGTGGCCAGGTAAAAATGGTCATGACTGCTAGTAATGTCACACCAACAAAATATACCAATATAACTAGTAGAGATCTAAATAAAAATACAATAAATGATTGTCTGAAAATGCGGGAAAAATTGCACCCCAATGTCTTTTTCTGTGTCTTTCAGTAACTAGCAAGATGAAAATGATACGTTCAGATTTTTTATTCTGTTTTTTTGATGCAGCAGGAAGGGCCGACATTGAAGTTCGAATGGTATAATACAACAAAGATTTTCTGTACTCTTGACGGTGCACGTTAAAGGTCCATGAACAGTGACGTTGTCCTGACAAAATATGCCTCACTGCAATGACTACACAACATTTATTATTTCAATTGTACGAAATTTGGGAAAAGGGGACCAGGGATGAGAGATTGAAAGATTATTTACAATAGCATGAGCATTAGTGGAATGTAAAATGAAATGCATATTGACCTTGGCAGGACACAAATCTTGGCCAGAAACGTTGATGTGAGTGTACAACATAATCCGACCATTCCACACCCGCATAATGGTTCTTGGCTTTTACGATACATTTCTTCTACGCCCGGTTCCGTGAACCATAGACTCCAAATTGACATATAGACACTTCGTCTTTGACTCAAGCTCTTCCTAAAAATAAAAATAAAGAAGTTTAACACACTGAGTCATACAAATGGAATCCGAAAAAACGAACAGCATGTCTATGTACTAGTAATTTTAGCGTTCCAGTCACCTTAGTGTTCAATCACTAAAATTTATCTAAATCTAGCTTTCTTGACCAATCAGCTTACAGTATTTTTTAAATTCTGGATTTTATCTTTGTTAACATATTGTAAAATAGTACATTAGACCACATTGAACGACTTAGAGGAGCTTACTGACCAGTAACGTTTCACTGGTAGTCATTAGTCATCTAGTTTCAACAAAAATATAGATACGGTAATTCTTAAAAACAAATTACTTTTCATTACGACTTGATAAAGTGTCCTCTAGTCTCTTATAAAATTCTACTTCATCCATGGAACTATTGGAAGTCTGAAAATATGAAAATCATAAGCAATGTAACAACGTAAAGCGTACTTCCGAAAGAAAATAATGAGGGGTGCCAAGCACTTTAGCAGAAAGAAAGGCACAAACAATTCAAGAAAAGAGATTCAATCGTCGATATAAGTGCCTGGAATGCATAGAACAATATATAGTTCTTATTAACAGAGCCACATTGGACCACCCAGCAGAAATTGTATCTTGAATAGTTTGAGTCGACATTGAAAGGAATCTCTTCGAGTTGAGCTGATATTTAAATGATAAATTACCTTTCTGCCAGATGTAACACTATTTCTAACATTATTATCCTCTTTCAACTACAATACAATAAGGTAAGATAATATTAAGATGTTGTCTTCAAATATTCCACTATTACATACACTTTATTTATTTTTTATTTCATTTTATTCCTTATACACAATGGTTTCAGATTTTTCATTTTGAGAGCCATTAAAACCGTGGTGAAGAGAAAAAATAAGCTAAGATTCAGACGCTTTGGGAAAATTAGATTTAATAGCAAAATAGCAAGTGTATTGCAACGTTTAGATGGTACAAGATTATATTTCTACATGAACTTAAAGGGGCATTCCGATTTTTAAGGACGGAAAGTTGTTTTTTTATTTGCTCAAATTTATGAAAACTATATACAAAACTCTAGAAAAATGTACCAGGCTTAGAATTAGTCTTGCTAAGCCATCTATTCACAGCCATGAATAACCTCTTGTGTTCTATACTTGTTGCTGTCGACCAGCTGCCAAAAAGCATAACGAACTTAACAAGCTTTCGTAAACTTTTTAAATAGTTTTGGCATTAAAAAATTAACGACTGGATTTCATAACTTTCAGAAAGTCTTAGTTAAAAACAAAATTGAATACAAACCGGTTTTAAGACACCTTTAACTAAATAAGTGACTATATTGTTCATTCTTAAAACATCATCTCGATCTTGTCCATTGCCCGGCTCCAGTTCAAACTCGTCTGTTAAGAAATTCTTCGTCTTATGAGAAATATGCACCCGTCTGAAATAAAATACTTTTCATTAGAAAACACCTCCATGTTAGTAAACCAACTCTATTCGAAGATTAATTGCCCCATTTTTATTTTCAGTAGCGTGATGCCAAACCTAGTTGTATTAATGATATTGTTTTCGGCTGTATAAAATTGATAAAAATGATGCTAATCCGTATTTCTGAGATTAATTACTAATAGTATTTACAATAAGTATTCAAAATAACAACCGTCTTACCCAGGAACTCCAGAGCTTTCCATTTTATTAGCTATTGTTACCTCTTTTCCCAGTACATCAAACTGCCATTGTTTTTGTCCCAGAACCCCAGCCAGTACAGCACCTGTATGTATTCCAACTCTCATGTTGACGTCTTTTTCCTTCTTCTCAGCCACATCTCTGAAAAATATTTGTATACTCAGTTTTCCTTTAAGTATTCGTTGTTAACCAATGACTTTCAGCAATCTTATATCTTTACATTTTACAATTTTCCGTTGGTCACAACCTTGAGTTAAAGTCGTGCAAGTGTAACATATATACGAACATATTTTTGTCTAGAGATGTATGATATTCAATTGATTCAGATCAACATAGTTCTAATGACTAAAACTAACATCAAGAGAATGGCCGAGCCAAATTCTCTTACTCAACAGAAAGTAAAACTTAATATCATTACAATTGGCCTGAAACGAAGAAATTTTGCAGAAAGCCTTACTTAATGATGTCGACCATAGCCAATCCCATGTGTATTGCAAGTACTGCGTGGTCTGTTCGTGGTTCTGACGCTCCACATACACAGTAGTAACAATCTCCTAATATTTTTATTCTTGCTTGACGGAAAGTCTGAAAATTAAATGATAAATAGTCGATTGTTTGGCATTGTTGAAAATAAACTATTTTGTTTTCAAGCAACAATTAGTTGTTAGAAAGTATAGATGCTCATCTATTAATTCTCAATAGTGAAACAAATATAATATTTCAACTAGTACGTTAGAATTTAGGGCAATGCGACAATTCATTCAAAGAGTTGTCAAGAATGCACATAGATAATTTTAATACATGTACGTACATTTGATAATCGATCAAAGTTAGCAAACAACTCATTTAATATTTTCACCAATTCTGGAGCTGTACAGGATGACGAGATGGCAGTAAACCCAACAATATCAGCAAACAATATACTGTGAAATACAATATAAATTTTTTTATTCAATACCAATTAACTGAATAGCTTTAAATTTTTAAATGGCAGACCTTCGCAAACCACATTTTCTCAGTACATTTAGTAGAAATTTCTAAAATAAAAACTTGTTAGCTAAAAAAAAAAGAATGTAGGCTGAATAAAATGCTTATAGTGTACATCATTGTATTGTATTAGAAGATGCCATTGAATAAATCTTGATCATAAAAATTGTTAGGAGAGCTATATTTCAAATTATTTCTTATCGAGAGTCCAAAACGATACTTCTTTTTATGAAATGGGTTGGTTTTAAATCAAACAGTTTCAAACAACAGTACCAAGATAACACTAACCTCACATCCTCATGTCTTGACATGTAAATCTTTCGGAACTGTCCTGCATCCAATGATCCCCAATGACGTATCATTTCATCAGCAACATGTTTGGGAAGTATAGAAAGCAGCAATCGTTCCTTAAATATGGACAATATGAAAACTGAAATATGATCATATCCGTAAAACGATACAAGTAACCATCTCGCTTGTACTAGTCTCTTGCCAGCTTTGTGAGTACATTATATATAATTATAAGGTATATACATTATATGGAAGATATTTCAAGAACTCGTTATATTCTGAAGAATTGTGCTCTGTATATCAAACACAGGCATCTGATTCTATAGTCAACTCTCTCTATGATAATATATACAGTCAAGTAACCTAATTTCGTGGAAACCTATTATTCGTGGATTTCCGGAAATGTTTAATAATTTACATGAGCGACCTTGCGCGACCTCCGCATTAGTTTGTTTTGATAAACATGGGTTTACAATATCAGCAAGTAAAATGAATCCAGTAGTTTCAAGCAAGGTAAAATGTATTAATGTATACCTTGACAAATACAAAATGGCGGATCTCACTTATTACCAAACGTCACCATTTTTTATCGGCCGAATTTCCTTATAATCCCAAGCGGTAATCGGAATTCCAAGTGTTGTCTGCTAGAATGTAGTCCAACGAATGAAGTCACGTGATCAACTAGCGGATTCTGTGTCAGCAGAAAATTTCTATGGAACACAAAGTGGACCATATTCTTATTTTGTTTCAGTGACTTTTAGCAACAAATCACGCTACGTATCTTATTTTGTCAGTCACTGTTTTTTTTTTAAATCGTGGTTCTTTGAAGGAATTGTCACCAGTTATAATGAATTGATATTAAAGATAAATACTAAGAGAAGTTAATTATACCACCCGGTATCCATACAACGTGTTTTTCTAGACTTATTTATAGATCAAACATTGTACACGAAAATAAGTGACGCATTCTGCCGCCGTTGCCGAGTTGGTTACTCATGAAATATGGATCATAGTGAAGGATTCATAAAGAAAATCAAATAAACCAATTTTTATTATTTTGTAGAATATCTGAGGAAACATCTAAGACATAACAAAAATTTCGTTTTTTTAACTCTGACGAAATTCGGTGTTGAATCGTTATATCCACGAAAATAGGTTACACCACTGTATAGATAACGCGCGTCACGACCATCTCCGCTTCTGACGCTTTTTCTACCATTTGCCGAAATGGAACCTAATCCCAGCCCTATATGATTCGTTTCATTGAATGGTTTTCCATCACACTAGACTATTTTATATCCTCCTCAGTGTACCTCTTCATTCAAATATTACTATTGTTCAATAAAAATACTAAAAATGTTCACGCCCATCGTTTCAATGAAGTGTTTCAGGGCAGAATGTTATCTAATAAAAAAAATGATGCTGTAAAGTTACTGTGTTGTTATTTTCATTATTTATATATTGAATGGAAATCGCCAATATAAGTATTTCTTTGTATTCAAATAAATCGAAAAGTCAGTAACCATGCTTTTACTTTCACTTTTGTTTTTAATGACAGGTAATTATAGCTGACCAATCGTATTGACCAATATATATTTACCGCCAAGTAAACCTTTAGAAGTGAAATTACAATGGCAAACCATCTTACCTGTTCTAGTTGACCCTGTTCAATGTTGACCTTGATTATTAAGGATGATTTGGTTTCTAGGAAAGACACGCGGTGTTTGTGATCATAATAGAAATTACTGATACATCCTAGTATACATGATCCTATACACAGTAGAATATTAGCTCCAATCTAAAATAAAAAATAGTGAAAGACAGTGATTGGATGAAATGGAGCTAATCAAATGTTATTATTAATACATAAAACCTACCTTTACCTAAGACCAGGACTGTCAGAAAAATAATATTCTCAGGTTGCTCATGGTTCCTCTTATACAGTGGTTTTCATGTATGTGTTTTTGTATGTGTCCCCCAATCGAATCAGCACGAAAATAAGGTCCCCGAATATCGAAAGCGTATCTATGATTGGATATCAGTCACGTTCTCGTATAGTTTGACAGTAATAATTCTCTGAGTACTCCTTGACAATGCTAATTTGGGCTATGTATAGTGCAGTCATCATATGAGATGTTATATATATTGTAGTTGGGAAGTTTTTAATTTTAACAGTCTGTGACTGGTTGTTACACATCAAATGTCCCCAAAGAAAAGTGCAAATGTCTCCACCTTGGGACATGTCCCAGTTGCTGAAAACCTAAGCTCTTATATTTTTTTAACAGTTAACCTATCAGTGACCCTGATTTAAGGGCCATGGAAAAGATGTGCTGAGGATCACACGCTATACTGAGATCTGCTGTAGGTTATGCTTTAAAGGTCTGTGGACAATGGGCACAGTATCTTTTTATCGTCTTAATCCGGGATGGAGTGGACATAAGAATATGTAAACACCAATTTCATTTCAAATCCAGAGTCAAAGAAATGGCTACGTAATGTTAACCCTACCTGATAGCCGAGTTGGAAAATACTATTAGGTTCTCGTGTCCAGAACCACGCCATAATAGAAATATGTCCAATACATATCACAGACGCAGCAATACAACATAATAAAGCACAGCTAGTGGGTAAGCAGATAAATGATAGATATATCAGTAAGAGCACTTGAGGTATACCATCGGACGGTGTATGTATAATCTGAAAGCTGACGGACACAAAGGTTGATAATATGTAGAAACACCAAAATACCAATGAAAACTTGGCATTGGTCACATTTCCAATGTGGCCATAACAGGTGTAGAATAAGGATAGAATGAACAAAATAGCGTGTATTCCACATTGGCTGTAAGTATCTATAACAAACGATTGAGTATAAACAAATAACTCCAAAATATCGGCAACCACCAACATCAATGAAGTCAAGGCCAGTATCAACGCCATCTCGAATGTAAAAGTTGTCTTTTGTCGTCGAAGATAATTCCTGTATATTTTTTCGTCTTTTGAATTTGAAAAATGAGCACCAAAACGACCACATATAGTAATTAATTGCGATTCCTCTATGTCAATTTCACTCAAACTTTTCTTCCATGGGGGTTTAACTTGTGCACGACCTTTGTTCATTTCAATTAGATCAAAATCTCTAGTTAAGTCTTTCACAACACATTTCTTGGCTGGTGATTTCATATTGCTTAAATTACAGACCCTTCTATGGCTGTAGCACTACACACGAGCTGACTTGATCCAATAATGAATCTAGCTTTCTATGTTTATTGTGAACAAGTCTTATATAATAAGATAATCAATCGTAGTTCATTTTCAATTATTTTGTTCTTGACGAAACAAGCACATTGAAAGCTTCATTATAACAGCTTTTGTATTGATTTTAACATCATTAAGGCAATGGGGCCTTTTCTTCCAATTTTTGTAAGGAATCTCTTGAAAAATCTACATAAAAACAGAATAATTACTGTATCCTTCGCCAATCTGTTCTTAAAGTAGATCTTCTTCTTCCCCTAGAATAACCTTGAAAACTGCAACGAAAACAGCACATAATTAAATATTCTCCTATCAGTTAATATGAACATACACGATTAAGAAAACAGTACTACTAATTTCAAAAAGAAACAGTCTAAGAATATTGTTGCATTTGTCAAAACATAGAAATCTCTTCATAATTTAATCCACACGCTACGTGGAAATCATTTTTGAAATACTAGAATGCCATTTGTAACAAACCTTATAATTTTGCTATCAACAAATTAGAAATTTCGTGGGATTTTTATCTGACAATTATTTGGCGAACACAAGGCAAAGATTGCAGCAATAAACCATAATATAGTTACCAACTTATTGAAATAATACATCTTCATTTCCTGTCCTTTCCAGCCCTTTCTTGCAAAAGTATCTAGCCAAAGGCACTTTTAATATCATCTCGTCTAAGGTTATTGCTTGTAATTTGTCTCACTTTCGCTCATTTCAAAGGCACACAGTTAGGTTAACATAGATTTACCTGTAACTGCAAGACAACAATATTAAGAAGAATGAGCATCAGTATCACAGTACTAACCTGAAATGTGGCTATGTTTGTTCTGTACGTGACTGGAACTCAATAATCATGCCATGAAAACTACGGTAGCTTACGTGATAATTTAACTTCTGACATTTGAGTTG